GGTACTTCAAGATACAGACTAGGTGAGCCTTTAGGCATATTTAATTATTGGTGTAATTTTTCTCTGCAAAGAAAAAGGGGGAAAGTATATTTATAGAGCTAGACTCTAGGCTTCTTTTTTTGATGATGGTTTGTGCCATGTTATGTCATCATAAGGTAAAATTGAAGCCCTTTCAATATCACATTGATTAGCAGAGGAATGAAAGATAGAGTTGGTGGGGGCTGTTATTGATTAACATAGCAGAGTAAAGGAGGGTTTAAACATACAGAATAGTTAACAGAAGAAAATATGCTTATATAAACAGTGATGAAAGAGGTGCAGAGCAGGGCAGAAGGTAGGAGTTAGAGTTGCGTTGATGCAGAGATAGCTGATGATGAAGAAATGCTGGAGAAGAATGCCATTGACATTCCTGAGTGGTTCTCAGGTTTGGTCTTGTTTTTAAAATGTGCTTTCAAAATAGGCTTTTAGCAATGCCACAGGATTATTTTATTGCTGTCATTTGTATGCACTATTCAGCTGCAGCTTTCCATATGTGCTAGAAAGTGAGCTGGGACTGGGGCTGGCACATGGGAGGTTCCTGCAGCATTCAGAAGGAGAGGAGACAAGAGGACTGAATGACTACTATGGCTGAGAAGAAGGAAAATGTATCAGTACCTTTGGGAAGTATTTCATCTGGGGGAAAAATTTTTCCTATGGATCGATATCTGCCTGGCTTGAGGCTGGAAGAGGGGACAGGGCATGCTGATATAGAACTGCAGGTGTTTCTTTGAGAAATTTCTGGAAAGTTTAGGTGGTATGCCAGGTTTATTTAGAAAAAAAGACATAAGTAATGTGGGAGGAGCCCTGCAACACAAAAAATTTTTCCTAAAGTCATAATTTTGATTACTGAGAGCCTGTCCTGAAATCCTATTAGGAGTAATATTTCCTATTGGATAAGGAAATGTGTCAAAGTTTTTTGGGGGGAGAAAAGATATTCTTACACTACTGTAAAGGTAAATCAGTAAAAATACACGACGTAGCAGAATTTCTAAGTTAAATCAATAACTCTACACATAAAGTAGTGCTTTGTAAGCTAAAACTGCTCCACACATCATACTAATCCATTGAGAGTGTTGAGAGTTTAGGAGATTGGTTATACTGTCTGCAATATCAGTAAAATACAGTATTAGGTTACATATGCCTGCTAGGGCAGGCATCAGTAAATAAGTATACGATATTAAAAATTTGATACTTCTAAGTCATTCTTTGATAGCAGAATATGTGTATCGGCATGTTGCATTTACCTTTCTGGTATGTGAGACGAGTGAAAAAGCAGTCCTTTGGTAGAGTTAACAGGCAGCTTTAAGCATTTACTGGTGTGTGGATGAAACTGAAGATTAGTGCTGTAATAGGAACAGGAGTTGGAGGGCTGACATTAGTTTTCAGAGGTCTCTGGGGTGCCTTACCTGCAGCTAGAGAGGCTACATTTGCCATTAATTTTTAAATGGTGAATGAGCTGGGCTGAATCCACTCCTTGATCCCTGCTGCACTGGGTCTTAAGGAAGCAATGTGTGCTGCAGGAGGTGCATCCTGGCCAGAATGGCAGGGGCTGACTGCTCTGTTCCCACAGTGTTTATGTCCTTGAAAAAGATAGACTGGAGTTTCACTGGTTACCTTGGGGAAATCTAGAGGGTCTGTGTAATGAATAAGTGCATCCTTTAATTGCAGTGTTGACCAGTCTCTGGAGTAGTCTCCTCTGAGGAGGAAGTACCAGCTGCTTCTGTGCTTTAAGGCTGCAATGAGCAGAACTCTGATGGAGAAGGCAGAATCAGAATAATACCAGTATCTATATCCTTCATGTTTTATTTTTTTCAACTCTTCATTGCTTAGGAGTAATCACGTACTGCTTGTGGCGCAGGAAAGGGCCATGCAGAGCCTGAGCAGACACCTTTCCATCCACAGCACTGCTCTGTGAGCACCACCAGCCACTTCAGATCTGCTGTGTGCCAGGGGCCTGTACTTCTATGGTGGAGATCCTATTCCTAAAGAAGTTACATGTTGTAGCATAGCATTCACTTTGTGTGCAGTCCTAGCACTCCTGGTGTTGTGCTTAGCTGAGCTTGGATTGCTGTCTAAAAGTTACAGTTCTTTTGGTTTTGTACTTCGCTATACCCGTTGTGCTTTGCTTGCTGATTCAGGGCAGCCAGCTTTATCCAAATTATTGGAATTAAAATTCTCACACTGTGTTTTTGTTCTTAAAGTGTATGCATGCAGTAAGAATTGCCTCTTTTATTATTCTCAATGGTACTCACCAGCTCAAGTCCCTGAAGGGTTATTGGCATTATATTTGAGCCAATTATTTTTATTTAGAAAATTATACTTATTCATCCAGTGTAATATTAAGTTACCAGGCTTGATGTTTTTCTCTTCCTCTAGCCTATATTTGCTGAGCTAGAACTGGGAACATATGCATCACATTCCTTTTTACTTGGTGGGCCTCAGAGTCTAAATTGGGACTTCTGAACTGCTCTTGAACACTGGGAAACCATATGTGGCATTGTGTTGTTTGAACGACATTCAAAACCAGAGGGTTTGTGTGAGCATGGAACATGCATCATTGTTCAACTTATGCATGTGTACAAGAAGGCTGAGAATGGGAGACAAGAGCTACAGCTTTTCCAAAATACAAAAGAACAGGAAAAAATATCTTTCCAGATGGACAATATGGGAAAAAAAAATCTCCAGAGCCGGTGTCTCCTACTACATACCTTGGCTTAATGGTCCTGGAAGCAATGGGGCACTTGCAGCACATAACTGGGTCTGGAACTGGCCCTCCTGTTTGCAGTTTTATGTGGTACAAGAAAGCACAGTGAGAAAAGCTCTTTTCATTCCCCACAGATGGGGTAACTCCTGTGGTTGGGAAAGAGTTGTTCCAGGGTATAGGTAATATACGCTGTCATTTCAAGGAGTTAAAAGCTTGGTGTGTGAAGGATAAGGGTTACTTTAAAGAAGGGTTGGACAGTACATTTTGGACAGATTTTTGAGCTTCAGAATGTTTGTGCTTCTGTTATAATCGCATAAACAAATTTTCTAAGTTTTGTTTGTTTTGTTATTTATACATCTTCAAAAACTTTCAATGAAATCAATTAATTATTAATAATTTCAGTTTAGGAAATAAAAGTGAGGGGAAACAGGCCAACTTTTAGAGAAGGAATGGTAAGGCCAGTGAAGTCATGCTACTGAGTCCTAAAAGAGGTGGAAAATGAGGAAAAAAATAGCCTCCTGATGATACCAGATCAGACAGGATAGCTGAGGTGAGGATGTGCTATGGGACTGCAAAACAAACTCACCATAGAGAGTGACTGAAGGATAACTTGCCAGTTGAAATTCAATGTTGACGAACATAGAAGAGTGTAGAGGAAGATAAACAATTCTAAATTGAAATACACAGTGATGGAATCCAAATTATCATTTGGAAAGAGACCTTGGTTTATAATAGTTGTATAAAAATGTTTGCTGAATGTACAGTAGGAATGAGAAAAAGAAAAAAACATGAATACTGGGACTGATCGGTAAAGGAATTGTGAACAGAAAGAAAAGTCTTTATGCTACAGCACAAATGCACAGCACACATCAATATTGCATCCTTGTTCCATCATTTTAGAAAGGATGCAGAGGAAGGGGAGATAATACAGGAAATACTGATAAAAATGTAGAGTGACTCCCATATGGAAAACAGCACTTGGGTAGAAAGAAACAAAGGTCTATGAACTCTCAAGTGGCATGGAGAAAGCAAATAGAAAATTCACCCTCCCGTGCCATGGGAGCTAAGCAGCCTCAAGAGAATGGTTAGGTGGCAGTTTTAAAGCTAGCAAAAAGGACTTCCTGTAGCTCTGAAATTGCCCTGGGATATTATAGATGCCAAGAGTTCCCTTGCCAACAGGAATGTTTGGACATACCCCTTAAAGAAAACTCTCCCAAAGGCTGTTGTACACAAAAATGCAGTTCTGGTTCAGGGAATCATCTCACCAGAGAGCTGGGATAGCTAGGAGCTGGAGAGTCCCAGAGGGTGGGACAGTGGGACTGGGGAAGGGGCTGAGGCTGTTTGCAGTTGCCTGAGGGGGAAAAAGTGAAAGTCGTGAGTGTGATAGGATGCTTGACTTCCTCAGTCTCTGAGCCTATCCCATCTGTCTCTTCCCATGCAATTACACCCACCCTGTGCCAGGGTATTGTTTAAATACGTGGCAAACAAGCTCCTACCCTTAAAAAGCAATTCAAGCTTTTGTGAAGGGATTTCAGTGAGTTTTCTTGCAGAAGAGAAATGCAGAAGGATTTTAAAAAAGAGAAGTCTGAGATGGACAAAACCAGGTTCTGGGTGAAGTCCTAATTAACAAAGCTATTTTACTAATTTTGAAGGGTCTTTTTGTCTTAATAGCTTTATACATATTACATTAGTGTGTCACCCACAAGTGAATAACAGCAATGTTGATGTCTGACAATAATCTCCAAACTGTGAACATCTTTCTATCCAGGCACTTGCTGTAGCTTTTCAGAGACTGAAATGCAGCTGACCTGAATAAAACCTGTCTACTGAAACACCTGATTTTCTTTTCTTTGAGGGTATTGTAATGTGTGCAGTGTATGTGCTAAATGCGTTGCTTTCTAGTTGGCTCTCCACGTAATGTTGGATTGCAACAGACTGCTCTCTGTCACACCTGATGACTAAACCTGTCTCACCCACGCCTTGGGAAAGTACTGGTGCATTGAGCCTTCTTAAAATCAAGCTTTAGGTTGTCCTCAGATTTCAAATCTCCTGTGCACTTTTTTTAATATCTCCTCTAACTCAAGAGATACAAGCACAAATGGATTCCAGGCAACAATTAATCAGATAAGTATTTATTTATTTAACTCAACCTATAGAATTATGCTGGCAATAGTTTGTTGTTTTGTTTTTTTTTTTTTTGAGTTAGACTTTTATTGAGCAAAAGACTATAGTTTAAACACTTTTCTCTCTTTTTCAGGCATCTACACTGAAGCATTCTGGATTTCATTAAACATGGTAAGAAACTCCTACTTAATTACACAAAAAACAATCAGTTAAGAGCTGTCTGCTTTGTTTACCTCCTGATATGTTCGAAGTGGAAATATGGCTGAGGAAACTAGATACATTTGATTCATGTTGTGAACTTTAAAACAGGATGGAGACACAACTAAAGCAAACATACATTTCAACTGTGTGGTAAGCATTTACTAGCACAATACTAAGAAGTGGGTCAGAATTGGCTGTAAGCTGGGAATGAGGGTTCATCAGAAATTGCAGAATGTCTGTCTGCATGATGCAGGGAAATTTTTTCAAACAATCAAAAATAAGCTCCTTTTAAAAGGCCCTAGGCAAGCCTGCAGTGGCATACTTGATGCTGTAAATGTTGTCTAGGAGATCCATGGTTACCAGAGTATGGGCAGGTAGCAATGAAAAGCCAGGTGATTGGGGAGGATGCAGTGTGCTGTGAGGGGAAGAGCTTGTATTATAAATGTTGCTTAAATATGAAGTACTTCAACCTAATTGAGAGGAAGGCTTTAGTCTTGCTGGCATAGCTGTGTCCAGTAAGGAATTATTCTAGTTTTGTAATCATTGCTATGCTAGCAAAATCCCTAGAATGTATGAATTTAGACCAGAGGGAAAAAAGGGTTTTTTTCTTGGACGACTCAGTTTGCTCATGGAAATGTTTTTAAACTATACCTGCAGATGGCCTTTTTGTAAGTGTAAATTGTCTATGTTTGTATAATTATACCAAAACACCATTACAAGAGTCTACAAGGACTTGTTGAAAAGAAATCATCCATATGAAGCTAAAGACAACATATAATCCTTAATATAAATTGACTAGTTCATATAACTGGACACGCTATATAAAAGGAAAATCCAGTGACACCACAAGTTTTTTTTTTTAATTTTTGATTGGGTTTGGGGATTTTTTTAGCCATTTCTCTCGACATGTGGTCATTTTTTCCTGAAGTTCAAGCTAAGCAAAATTCAAGACAGCATCATGCAGATGTTTTTATCTCATTGGGCATTTATTGTCTCTGAGGGTCTGGTGGGGCTTGAGCCAGGAAGTCCCAGAAAACCTTGCTTGTGGACCGTGAGAAGTACTGCTTTCTTGGGCAGCGCTGAGGGAGTCTCTCTTTGAAGACTTCCTCCCACATATGTATACTGGGCTTGAAGCCAAGCCTCTCTTCTGTAAAGAAACCTTGCTAAAATTTCTCATTTCATGCCCCTTTATGGAGAGAGAGGGAGTGTGAGGGGGAGAGAGAAGGAGGTACGTGCCAAGAGTATTGAGAGAGCAGAGCTGAGTAGACTCTTCATTTTGTGTGTTTGGGGACAGCGGGGCAGCAAGGAAGAAGAAGGCTTTATATTAATTAGTACCATATTTGCCATCCCTCCCTCCCACCTTAAAAGTGATAAGTTGTCCTCCTTCTCCTTTCCAAACCACATCTGTGTTTTTTTTAGACAACGTTTTTTGTTTGAGTCCTTTGAACTAGCAGAGACACTTGAAATAAATGCACTTATAAATGTGCCTCCTGCCAGCCTCTGTCTAGTCTGCATATGGATACTTAAAAGAGTTGAAGAATATGTCTTATGTATCTTAGAAAAATGCTAAGTTCACAGTGGTGGCACCTGAAATGGCTTTATTCTTGCCTCCCTCTTAGAGCACAGTGGAATTGCTAGTGTATTATTTGATAAACAATCACCAATTAGTTGTTCCAATCCTCACTAATTCAGCAACTGCTCTCCAGGGCCTCCAGGCAGCTTGTATGCCAGTTCATGTCCTCGCCCCAGGTAGCTCTGAACTGAAGGAGTTTCCTTAATTGCTTTTGCTGTTATGTCTGTTTTAAAGGTTTTACTGCTCCTGTTGATGAGCTGGGTGGTGTATTACAAATGCATGTTTGCTGTCTTACCTTTCCCCAGTGTGCTGTTAACAACACAAGTGACATAAACCATAATGCTGGTGGGTAAAAACACCCACTTTGTGCACCAAATGGAGGGTGATCTTGCTGATTGGAGGCTGACAGGTGTGATGCTGCTTCACTTCCTCCATCTTTTATAGGTTTGGGTACTGCTGGGTGTCTCCATGGACAGCCCTGTTGCCCCTACAGTATGCCTAGATCACAGATAAATCAGATATCAGTCATCTGCTGATCACAGAATGGCACAGGACCAAGAGATGAATTAGCCACCCTTGATCTTAAAGATTCTTGCGAATTCTAGTGAGCTACAAGCTGTGGATGGGAGAAGTATCTCTTTGTTAACACTCGTTCCTTATTGTTTTGTCTTACAGGTGCCTGTCACTGATTACAAAATCTGCTGCTGAAACAACTTCTAGATGTGGTGGAAGACCTATGGTTGTGGATCCTTTGCACATATAAATGTTATTGTGTGTGTCTGTTTGACCATGGTAGGATATTTAATGTATCACAGAAACAAGTTTTGTATCTCCAATTTCAGTGTCCCTCTCATCTTAGATCCTTCCTTTCAAACATATTTTCCCATGTTTCAGCCTTTAAAAAAAGAAGAAAAAAACCCCCAAACTTTGAAAAATTGTAACACATTATGAAAAGTATACACTATTGTCATCCTCTGGGGAAAAGGGGAACTTTACTGTGTCTGCTGTTTTAAGTTCATTGTGGTGTATAGCATGCTAAGTAACTGCTCAGTCAAATGTCAGTGTGAATTCAGAAATCCTCAGTAGAGGAAATAAATAAATATTTTTATTTTCTCTAAAAGCTTCCCTGTAAAATTTTTCTGAAGATTTTCTTCATGAGACAACACATAAAAAGCATTTGAGTGCCCTTTCACTTCTCATCCTGATGGCAGGCTTGTTGGGACTTTTGGCCAAGTGCTCTGAAGCTATTGTAAGCCTCCACAGAAATGAAGCCCATGTTGTTAACCTGGGATATGCCTCATCTGTGATGAGCAGGAGGCTTGAGTAATAGATGTTTATGTTTGAAGTGACACTTACCCCTTTATCAGTACCTTGGAAGAAACTGCAGGCAACTGATGTGAAACGCTGCTCACAATATCTGGGCAGAAAGTTGGACAAAGATGTTCCTCTGAAGTTGTTTTGCTAGACCTTCCCTTCCCTTCCCTTCCCTTCCCTTCCCTTCCCTTCCCTTCCCTTCCCTTCCCTTCCCTTTTTTTCCACATAACACTGTCTATATTTCAGCTTTTTCATTCTGATTTTTACAATTTTTTTAAGTCCTAATTTTTAAACAGACTTGCTTTTTTTCAATTCTCCAAATGGGTTCTTTTGCCTCCACTTACATAATCCTCCAGCCTTGTGGTAAAGATTGTAGAGAAAAGCTGATACCACAGCATAGTATTTGCAGCATAGTGCACCTGTAACCAGACTAAATAGGAAGGCATTATTCACAAGGAGGTGAGGTTATATTTGCTGCTGCTAAGCTCTTAGCTGTTCACTTTTAACACTGGATGCCTGGTTTTCTTTTTCTGGAGTGCCTGTTTACTCTTGTATATTTTTATAGAATGAAAGGGTGGTGGGGAGAATGAGGGTGTTATGTGCAGTAAAGTTATAAATAACATTGGCTTTCAGGTTATTTGCATTATATCTACTTGCCTGAATGCGTAAAGTTAAACAAAAATGTCTTATAAAAAAACCAAAAAAAGGGCAGAACAATGTCATGGATAAGAGGTCTAAAGGCAATGCCACAGAATGTGTTTATTGGGGAGTATTTCCTACCTAGCTAATAAGCCAGACAGAAAATTGCTTACTCCTCCCACAGCTTCAAAGAGATCAAACAGAATATTAAAGCCTTAAAGATGCTGATGTAAGGAAGAAGGAGGGTTACTCATCACCCACCACACTAAAGTGACAGGCAAATGGGGAGCATGCTGGGAACAGAGCTATATTCCCAACCCAGAGACAGTGATCCTGGGGTGGATGACATGATGAAATGCAGCTGTCATGGAGCAGGGGAAGCACACACATAGGGGTTTTTGTTGTCTTTTTGCCCTGTGTGCTGTTGACTTTAGGGAAAATAGACAAGAAGTGCCCACTTTTGGGCTGCATTTCACACACTGTGGTGGCATTTCATTCAATAATGAGACATTGATAATGTTGCAGGCTCCTGAACAAACAAGTGTGGGACAGGGATCCGAGGGAGAGTGGCTGCAGTTTCTGTGGATGCTTACATGGAACAAAGATGCCAAGGTTAATCTTGCAGTGCTGGAACTGAAAAGGAGGCACAGTCTAATTTTGGGCAAAGCAGGACTGTGCCCTGAGGAAGAAATGTTGTCATTGTGAAGGCTGTCTGAAAGATTTCAGAATATGTCTATGCCTTTGAGTCTTTCAGCACTGGAATTTAATTTCTAAAGTGTAATAACACCAGTGTATCCTTGTAATTTTATTGCATTTTTTATTATGGATATAATCTACAATAACCCTGCTGTCATATTGGCCTCTGCTACGGTTTCATTAGTCTCTGTCTCTCCATCAAAGATGATGAAAGTAAAGTTGGACCACATCATACAGATTAGGTTTTCTTTCTTCCTTTGTTTCATTTCTCCAAAATGCTTGTTGAGTCAGTAGAATTTTTCTGGCTTGTGCTTTCCTAGCATTCATCCTCAAAAATACACAGCATCCAGTTTTCTTGGAGCAGAAGGATTAAAAAAACATCGTTGATAGAGCTGCTTCCTTGATTCAGCAGAGATCAGGGAAGACACTGTGTCCTACTCATTTTTCCTGTCTTTCCTGGATTGCTTATTTGTGTCCCATACCAAAGCCTTGAATTCCTGCATGGCAGATGTGCCTTTGGAACTCAGAATTCAAGTTCTGGAAGGCCTTGAGGCAAGAAGAACCCTTGACAGGCTTCTAGAATTGCAAGACATGTTCTGGTTTCCAGAAGTCATACAGTAACACCTGTGAATCTGCATGGGCACCTGGCAAATCTGCAAAAAGAGTAGTGCAATACTGAAGATAGCAAAATGTTGTGAGCAGGAATGGAGTGACCAAGGGCTGGGATTCAAGCACAAACTGCTGAGTGCTCCAGCAGCAAACCTCTACTAGACCAATTGGTCCCATATGTCAGAGGACTTTGATTTGTGGCTGGGTTTCACAGTGATTTGAAGCTTGTGTCTCCTAAAAATTCTACTGGAAACAAAGCTTCAGCTGTAAATCAGTTACAGGCGTAGTTAGTTAATTCAGTGATATATTTAAGTAACACTTTGCAAGTTGGCAACCAACTTGAAATCCTGATTTAAAAACAATAGAAAAATACCAGAGAGGCATGATGTAGTCCACCAGTTTTTTGGGGTTTTTGTTGGTGTTGGTTTTTTTTGTTTTGTTTTTTTTTTGGGTTTTTTTTTGTTTTTTTTTCATCAGAGCCAATGTTTCAGTGACTTCTAGCACAGAAAATCTATTAGAAAAGTAAAGAGTAATTGGAAACAAAATGTTGTGAGTGATAGAGCTCTGGACAAAAAAAAAACCTGCAAAAACTCCAATATTGTGGAGTAACAGACAAATATTATTATCAGACTGAAAGGTGGGGAGGAGAGGAAAAGCAGAGGGAGGTTAGGCTAATCTGTTGGGGTAGAAAGAGGCCAAAGCTGGGCTTAGGACATCTGCAAATGAACAAAGATTTCTGTTGTTTACATTTGTTGAGAGAGAGCTAGAGCCACCATGTTGCAAAATCTGTGTGGAAATACTTACACAGCCTGTCAGGAGGAACAAGAAGTATTAATTCTAAAGTTTTCCACCAAGTGGGCAGAACAGTGCTGGATGAAGATCAGTGGTGAATAAAGAACAATTGAGTGTGAACAGTCAGTCCTGACAGATCCAGAAAAGATGAGTATGAGAGATCAGTGGGGTAACTTGATCAAATTATAACAGCCAAAACCCAACTGTGATATTAGTTTTCACATCATTCAAGACTGCTAAGAAGTTGAGTAACTGAGAGGACATTGTACAGCCTTTTGTACAAAGTTGTGCCTCTGGTCGCAGCTAGAACACAGTGCACAATTTTGGCCTCCTGAGCTCAAAAAGGATGTGACTGAAATAGGGGAATTGGAAAAAGGGTGACAAGAACATTCAAGAGCCTGAGAAAGCTCCTGCCAGAAGAAAGACCAAAAATACAGCCTTAGGAGATAGAGGAGAAATTAATAGAGGACGCTGCTTACGTTGGAGGTGAGAGGTCAGGAACTTAGTCCCTTCTCATCCCATAGTGTAGGCCCACAGGCATTCAGGATGAAGCTCCACAGTGGTTCAAAAACATAGTAATTATGACTAATTTGGGAGGTGATATTAACAGTTCAGTCTTAATGTCATGACCTCAGCTTCAACATTTTAAGAGAGGTAAAGGATAGCTGACAGCTGTAGTCCCATAAAAGCTTAACTCACAACAAATGTGCCTTGTCAGAGGGTTTGTTACTTAGTTTCTTCATGCTCCAGTTTTCAAACTGTAATTTGAATATATTTAACTCTTTGTACAAGTTAAATTTTCCTGAAGGCATGATGCAGCTCTTAAGTAACTTGTCTGTTAATGATGAACTTGCTGGTGAGCATAGAATGCATGACCTTAGATATTTTTGCACTTCTTGAAGCACAGAAGTTAGCTGAAACATCCGTGCACTCTATGTATTGATTTGAAGCATATGGAGACATTGAACAGCTGATCTCCAAAATGATCTGTTATATGAAATGATCTCTTTGTTTATCTTGCCTTGAACAACTCTCAAGAAATTTGGTGTTTTTTAAAAATAAGATGAACAAATATTTTGAAGCTTGAGTCTTCCTTCTGGCAGAATTTTTTTTATTTTTTTATTTTTTACTTAAAGAAACATGAATAAATTTGTTAGATTTTAAAATATAAATATTTTTAAGCACTCTCTGAGGCTTATAAAGAGAGAAGTGTTTATTTTACAACAGTATTTTTTTCCAGGTAGAGATCAAGTAAAATTAATTTTTCTCCTTTCTCCATTTTATTATAGCTTTCATTTCTAGGTGGCTGGAATGATTAATGGGATATTATGGGCTAATACCTTGTGTTTGGGTACACAAATAATAGGAGCGGCTTCCTGCAAATCTTTTAGTGTAGGTGCAAGATTGGAAGATATTTTGAAGGCATTGAGTTGGCCATGACAGTTCTACTTTCCTCAATTTATCCATAAATCAATTGTGAGTGATTCTCCCACAGTAATTTTTCATACAGTTTGAACCTGGGTAATGAACATCCCTGTCCTGGAGTGAAATTGTGATTTTTCTAGGTCTTGTTGAAGACATGATCAAGATTTATGAAGGGTGTCAATGTAAACCCATTACATTTGCCTCACTCTCATTTGCTTTTCCATCTTTCTTTTCCATCTTTTCCTTCCTTCTTCCCTTCCCTTCCCTTCCCTTCCCTTCCCTTCCCTTCCCTTCCCTTCCTCCATTAAAGCACAGCTGTTGCATAGCAGTGGCTCTTACTGCATGAATAATCATGTTCTTCTGTGACAGAGGATATAGCAATAACCTAGATGGATATGAGATGGTTCAGATCAAGCAACAAGAAGATGTGAGCAACTTCCTCTGTTCTGAACTCTTTTTTTCCTTTGAATCTATTGCATTCTCTTTTAATGTTGCTTGATATAAAAGTACAGTTTTCTTAAAAAGGAACCTTGAGGAAATTATGTTTTCTTCCTCACTTTCTGTTTCAAATGCTCAAAAAATAGTTGAAAGCAAAAAGATGTTTATTTGTTTGTTTGTTTTCCTGTC